TATATATGTGTTTTCCGATGGTCTTAGGCGACCCCTGTGAAAGGGTCGTTCGACCCCCAAAGGGGTCAAGACCCACAGGTTGAGAACCGCTGGGTTAACCAAAGAACTTACATGCATATATGCATAACCCATGGACACAGACAACACTGTGGTGAAGGCTGGGGGGATGGTTAGGGGGCCCATGGGGGGAAAAGGGGGGACATCTGTAATGCTTTCAAACAATAAAGATAAATCTAAAATTTAAAAAAAAAGCAAAGATAAACCACAACAAAGAAGCTATAGACCCGCGGTCTGACCTACCCACATGACCTACCCAGCTAGGAATTGATGATCAGGTCACCTGTGAGGTTCCTTTCGGTGGATTTATTAGGAGCCCACTTTTCATCCACATCAGTAAACGCAGCATCCAGAGGCCCCAACCCATAGGTCAGAACGTGGGGTTGCTCCTGGCGCCCAGGTTCCTGTGATCTCCCAGGATAGAAATCTAAAGTTCACCAGGAACTGATAGCGAGCCTGGTGCACTGGCCAGGATCGAACCAGGGCTCCATGGCAGGTCTCCACCATTGAACCAGCCCGAGTTCTTGGGATAGAAATCCAGAGAGTTCACCACAAAGTGACGCTCAGGTGAGAGGTTTCTGACAGACAGCTCCAGCGCCGAGGGAGACAACATTAAAGGGAGGAAGACATGTTGCTCCCAAACAAAAGCTGGGGACAGTTTTACAGACGATGAGGCAGGAGAGACATCTAAGTGTAACATACAGTATGTAGAGATGGGGACTCTGGAGCCTGCACAGTGGAACTCCATGCTTCTTCATGCCCTGCATGTCTCCTTAGCATAGTAAGTCTCCACCCAGGACTGTGTGTATTAGCACTGAAATGAGGAAGGGTCCCCGAAAAGACAGCCTTTCTTGCTAGTGCACACGCACGAGTGAAAGGCACAGAACATAAACCAGCCGAAGTAAACCTTGCAGAGAGCAGTGTCCTGCAGTCCAGCTGCTAACTGGCTGTGGGGAGGGAAAGCATTGGGCAAACTGTCCTCCCCTTTGACACTAGCTGGGCAGGGAGGATTGGGATCATGTTTGCCTGTGAGTGTCTGGGGCGGGGTTTACACAACATCGGTTTTGTGCGGTCTCCATGGCAGAGTGCCTGATCTCAGGCTCGATTCTCGTAACATCTGATCACAAGGCTTGTCTGGCAGCCCCAGACAGTACCTCCATCACCAGCAGCCAAACTCATAGGCCAGAGATGGAAATTCACCGCCTGAATTCTATCCCACTTGGTCAGATCGATTGGAAAAATCAGTGGAGGAGTAAAAGGCAGGGGTGGGGTGGGGTGGGGAGAGTTGACCAAATTGGAAAAAGTTTATCTCATTATTTAAAAGGTATATTTTTATGATAAACAATTAGGAGATAATTATTCTTGAAAATCATTCAATCAAATGATTTAAAGGTTACATTAGAATTTTTATTGGATTTGCTGTAAGCCAATGAGTTAACTTGGGTAGACGTGTTGGTGACGTCTTACCTTGGCTTGTCTGGGAACGCTATCCCTCCACGTTCCTTACATCTTCTGTGTCCCTCTGCCTCCTTCCCCAGGCCCAGCGCCACCTTTCTGGGAGAGCTTTGGGTGCGTGTGATTAGAACCGTTCGCCTAAAAAACACAAGGACGGCCCTACCTGGCGTTGTGGCTCAGTGGATAGAGCGTCGGCCTACGAGAGCCCTGGATGGAGACTGAGCCGCCTGACCCCGCTGCTCTCTTCTGTCGGCGAGGCCTGCCTGGGCAGACACCTGTGTGGTCCACGGAGCATGTCTCCTTTTCGCTGGTCCCTCCTGTGGCTGCTGGAGGGAGAACCAGAGGCTGCCTGGCTCAGGCTAGAATTAAGCTCTCACCGGGGGAGTGAGACAGGATGTGTGTGAGGCGCAGCAGAGCCTGTGGCTCCCAATGGCTGAGAAGAGCTGCACCCGCGCAGCTCACCTGAGTGTGCGAGCCACGGGCGGGAGGGCAGGCGCTGGTGAGCATGGAGCTCCCAGGGGCAGCTGTGGGCAGAGGCCGGGCCCCGCGATTCTAGGTCCTCGGGCCATAATGCTGTCGGACGCCCAAACTACATCAAACTCTCAGCACAGGAACACATGTCTTGGGAAGACATTGGCCGACACTGGCGAGCACTTCTTTTAGAAGCAAGGCCTTTTGTCTTGCATCCCATTCGATGGCTATTAGTTTTGGGTGTGCCTTTTTTGGTCTTTTATTGCTCTATTATCTTGTGTGTGTTTGTATGTGTGTGTGCGTTAAATAGATATTTTCAGGTATGCTACTTTAATTTCATAGTGATGTTTTAAAAAAACAAAACAACCCGATGTATCTATGTAGATTATATTGTAATGTAATACTATATAATATTAACATAAGGCATAACTCTCCGTGCAACATACCACTCCACTCTCAGGAATCTTAGTTTTAGAATATTTGTTTTAGAATTGCTTGCAGATATTTTCTCCTGTCTTGTAAATTGGTTTTAGCTATTTATAGCCACCTTACCAATGATCTCCCCTGAAATACTCACTTTACAATGTCTTCCTCTGTTACTTCCACCTGACATCTCATCTTCCTTGGATTCCTGCTCCTAAGCGTGTAAACTCTATGCTCGGCCAGGCGCCATGCAGAGAGCACGGGTTAGACGAGAGGCACATGCGGGAGATACACGGAGCCCTTCCCCGCGGAGCTTGCTTGGCCGTAGGGTCCCGCGGGCTCCGTGGCCTCCTCCCCAGGGCCGAGTTCTCCTCGGGGGTAAAGGTATTTTCTGTCAGGTAGACACAGTGGTTTCCCTTTCTTTATACTCACAAGGAGGCAGTGTAACTATCCCAGAAGTTCTTCAGGAGGCAACTCAATAGCCGTAAGTCCTCAGACCACACAGGAAAGCCTGGGAGAGCATTACTTCCCTAAGCAGCCAAAAGGCTGGGGGTAGCAAGAAGGGCGCAGAGTGGAGATGGAGTTGACAACACGCTCAGGAATGTCATTCCAGGAAATGTCATTCCAGGAAATGTCCTCTTCTTTTGTTTGGTAAAAGGGTTGAGAACCCCAAATAGAATTGGCCCAGACAAGTAAATAAAGTGTAATGCACATCGGGTTAAAAATAATGACCTTGGCTCCTCCTCCTCCTCCCTCCCTCCCTCCTCCCCAGTGGCAGGTTTTTTCAGGTTTCATGCCAATAATTTATTGAACGGAGGTCTGTACACAGGCAAACCTTACTGTGGAAACTAAGACATCGGGATCTCCCCACCATCCCTAACCCAGCCCTCCAGGGTGGGGAGAGGAGGGAGGAGACCTTAGGGCAGAGGACAGGAGGGGAACACAGCTGTAGGAGGGGGAGGAGCCAGGTTGGACGGTGCGAATCGACGTTTTCTTTAA